ACACAGGACAATTTCCCAAGGATGTGCTTCCCAGAGAGCACTAACAGCAGCCACCTGCAGGGAAGGAAACAAACAAATTTGCACCCACATGGACAGATACATTGTGGCCAAGAAATAAAATCGTTCCTATTTTTAAAGTGATCTCTCAGGGACAACAGGGAAAGGACTGGGAAGAACCCAGGACAGAGGCAGGAGGCAGATCAGGAACCGAGTAAAGCAAAGAGATTCTTTAGTATTTCAAATAAAACAGCACAAACAATGACCGTGGTCAAGGCAAAGGTGAGGATCCCTTTGGAACTGACCTGACCCCACATTTCCAAACTCACTACATATGTCTCAGCTCAGCTTTGTCCAAAAACTGTGCCCTGCAGACCTGGACACATTCTGACCTCAAGAACTGGACTGTCCAGAGGAGTAGCTCATGGGTCTCCAACAGAGTCACTGCCTTCTGATGGTTCTAATACAAACTACTCATTTTTCTTTCTTTTACTCATTTGATGGTCACTTAAAAAAAAATCCTCAAAGAGATTGCATTAGACCAAAAAGAAAAAGAAATGAAAACCCAGCATTGAACCAGAGTCCTGGTGGGCTGCGGTTGCATCTTTCTCTCCTGAACACGATTCCCTGTCTTCTTCTGTGCTCTAAATTACCAATTCTGGTCCCTGTGAAGCTAAATAATATTAATTACCATATAAATGAATATGCATATGTGTCACTTTCTCCCTAAAAGCAAGAAAGCCTGTTTGTTTTGGATGAGGGTTTGTTTTGCTTTTGAACAACCAAAGCACATAATTAGAAGCCTCACCTCTCACTCCTGTCTCCACTGGGAAGAGATGAAAAAGGTTCTGGGTGCCCCATGAAGGTTAGAAGAAATTTTAAAACAAATCGAAGGAGATATTTCTTTACTCTGCAGGTAACAATGGCTTGGACATGATCAGAATCACAGGCCTAGGAGGGACTTCTGTGCGCAAGCCCGACCCACTGTTCTGCAGATGGGGGAAGGGGCTCAGGGAGCGCAGCTTCCCAGAGGAGCCCCAAGACCAGGCCCCGGCAGCAGGAACACCACTGTATTTGCACCTTGGTTCTGGGACTCCCTCTGCCGTGGTGGCCTCTGCACCTGCGAGATGGGGAGCCGCAGTGTGGCCTCCGCAGGGTTGCTGGAAGGCGGGTGGAGACCTGGCCATGCAAGCTACACTCTGATCCGTGTACAGCCACGGTCTTTCTGCACAGTGTGAGGTGCACCTGCCATGGGACCTGGCAGTAGGGCCAGACCAGGCCTCCCGACAGCCCCACTGCCACCTCAATGCTGGTTGTGACAGTGAACATTACACATTAATGTCATCGACAATGAGTTATAAGACAGGTGGTCATATACGGTATAAGTAATAATACAAATCAGAGCATCATTATACTAACAGTAGATGCTACCATCATTTGGTGACAGTAGTGGCCATTGGCAAGGACTTGGGATGTGGACTCCCGTTGCTAGCTTCTGTGGCACCAGGGCAGAGAGTCGAAGCACCCTCAACTGTGGGGCCCCTGGAGAGGAGCAGCTGGGTCATCGCAGTTCCCACTGGGATCCCTGTGTCACTGGAGGTCTGGGCTTCTAAGCACCTTCAAGGGAATCTGATCTCAGCAGCAGCTCAGGAGGCTGAGGCAGGAGGATCATGAGTTCAAGGTCAGCCTCAGCAACTTAGTGAGGCCCTAAGCAACTTAGCAAGACCCTATCTGTAAATAAAATATAAAAAAAGGGTTGGTGAGGGCTGGGGTTTTGGCTCAGTGGGAGAGTGCTTGCCTAGCATGTATGAGCATTGAGCAATTCTCAGCACTGCACATAAATAAATAAAAATAAAAGTCCATTGACAACCCAAAAAAATATTTTTTAAAAAAAGGGCTGGGGATGTGGCTCAGTGTTTAAGCACCCCTGGGTCAATTCCCAGTACCCAAACAAAAGACACTCTGAAAAGGAAAGGGGGTCTTCTACAATAGGCATGGGGAGGTCCCACTGTCCTTGCTAAGCTGGAGACAGACTGTAGCACCAGCTCGACTGGACTCCTGCTTGGCAGAGCTGGTGACAGTGGTTGGTGAGTGGCTCAGGACAAGTGCTGTCTCTGGGGCCAGGAATGGCAGGATCACTCGCTGCCCATGTGTCCAGAACCAGCATCAATCAAGCTGATAGTCCTGGTCCCGAAGCTCTGGGCACAATGAATCGGAAATTCTGCCTGGTGTGCACGACTGTGTCTGCTGTGCACAACTGTGTCTGCTGTGCTCTTATCATCTGGTTTTCTGGGTGCTTGGGACTAAACTCGGGGCCTGGTGCATGCTAGGTACTCTCTAATACCAAGCTAGGGCCCCCACCCCACTGCACTTTAAACACAGTCCCCAGCTTAAGGAGGGATTCCAGTCCCAGGCAGCTCACTTTTGTGCAGCGGAGCAACCCTGGTGGCCCTCTGGCCAGAGGCGATGAAGAGGGGAAAGCTCTGCGCTAAGGCCGGAAGGCAGATTCGGTGACTCCAGCCTGCTGCCAGGCTCCCGCGCCACCCTCCACCCGGCAAGCTCAAGGGCAGCCAGGTGAGGGCGCCAAGCACTGTGTGTGGAAAGCGCGTCCCACTTCCAATCCCAGAGGATACTACTCCCACTTTATTAATCCCAGAGCATGCTCCTCCCCCTTTATTAATCCCAGAGCATGCTCCTCCCCCTTTATTAATCCCAGAGCATGCTCCTCCCCCTTTATTAATCCCAGAGGATGCTCCTCCCCCTTTATTAATCCCAGAGCATGCTCCTCCCCCTTTATTAATCCCAGAGGATGCTCCTTCCCCTTTATTAATCCCAGAGCATGCTCCTCCCCCTTTATTAATCCCAGAGGATGCTCCTCCCCCTTTATTACCCAACAGACGGGCACTTCCCAGATGGAAGACAGGAGGCCTTTTCAAGGGTGAAGGATGAAGGGTCAAGTTTAAAGAGTGTTCCCTGAGGTTGGCTGGCCTGAGTGGAGGTGGGTGAGCTGGGTTTTGGCCCCGCCTCGGTCCTCGGCCATTCTCCCAAGCTGGGATGGCCCCCGCACAGTCCCAGCTCTAGAGGGGGTCCTGGTCTTCCACAGTGGTGTCCCCATCCCCACCCTTCTCACTGTCAGCCTCACTTTGGTCTTGTGACACTGCCTCCCGCTGCTGAGGAGCCAAGGTGGACCAATGCCCCTGCTGGAGTGGACGGCCGGGAGGTGGAGCTGGCGCCAGAGTCTGGGCACCAGGGAACCCCGTGCCCCGAGGTTTCTGCAGAACTCTGCAGAAGGGAGCGGGGGCGGGAGCAGGTGGCAGAGGGGAAAGCTGGTTAAGATGCAGGTGGCCAGGCTGACCCTCCTCCACCGTCCTGGAGGCAGCAGGTGCTTCTTATCCAGGGCTGAAGAGAAAGCGCAGGGCTATTTTATATCATGGGGACATACTGGCCAGCCGTGGCCCCTGGCCAAACATGGGAGCAGTCACAGCAGCGTGCGCAGAGCAGGGCAAGTACACGCTCGCTTTCTGGCCAGAAGACCAACAGGGGGCGCCCCAGGGAACTGGAAGCTGCCGGGGAGATGCGGGGGGGCCATGGGGGGAGCCACCGTGCTAGTCCATTTTTGTTCTATTACGACAGTGGAGGTGCCCTGTCGGTCTCACAGCCTAGCACGGGCCCTGCTGAGCCTCCGCAGGTCACTGCATCTCTTCCCACCACGGGGGCAACGGGGCCCTGGAGAAAGGTCCATCTTGAAACCGAAGGCCTGGGAGGCGGGGGCCACGCCTGGCCCTCTCTCAACAACTAACCAGGGTCTCCGGAGAAACAGCTCGTCCCTCCCGACAGTGCCTCCACTCACCCGAGGACGCCTGCCACTTCCCGCTCAGCACCACCCCCAGATCCAGCTCCCAGCACGTGGACCTGGGGGGCAAACCACCCTGACGGAGGCCGCAGACAAGTCAAGTCGTCGGTGAACTTCCGGCCTGGCCCTGTGCTGGCGTGGCCGACCCCACCCCGAGCACGCCGCCCACAAAGACCCCATAGCAGCTGTGACTAGGAAGTCCCTCCTGGCCAGGGAAGGAAAAGCAGAGACCGAGAGGCCCAAGCGACCTCAGAACCGAGAGCAGAGGGACTCTCTGGATGCTCAAGGAAGGGACCCAGGGGAGGAGGGAGTCCAAGAGAAAGAAAAACGAAAACAAGGTGAGCCCCGGCCCCAGGGACCGGGGGGACAGCACAGCCCTCCCTGGTGCCAGGAGAGGGGCGCACAGAGCCCATGGGGTTAAGCTGACAGGACTGCGGCCATCCTGGTCAGAACTACCACTTTCCCCCCAGGTGACCTGGACACGCGACCCAGGCCCTGTGGGACAGGGGCCTTAAGAGAGGCCCGGGCAGCAGACTGACTGGTGTTGGACGCCTGAGTGGCTTTTGAGAAAGCCAGGTCCGCTGCAGCTGCTGCCCGCCCTCGGCCAGCTTACTGAAGCCCCTTCCTCTTCCCTCAGGGGGTAGGGATGCCCCATCCTGCTGCCCCCCCCCCCCGGACATTCTTCTGTCCCCAGATTTCCAGTGAGTGGCACTGTGCAGGCTGGGACCTGCCTGCCCCTTTCTTGGTCCCAAGGCACCTTGCGGCCACTCCTCACCGGGGCCCAGTCTCTTCTGAAACAGTGCCGGGAATTATTTGAAGAAATCAAGACAACATGTAACGGCTCCTGGCTGCGGCTAGACCCTGGGTGCTGACATGTGCTGGTTGTCCTGTCCCCTCCCACCACATGCATGCTTCTGCAATTGTCCCTGCTTGGACTCTCTCCCGGGACCCTCCAACTGGGCCGGGCCTTTCCTTCAGGGGCCCTGGTGGGAGCCGCCAGCCTCCAGTCCCCATGGCAAGCCACAGGGAAGGACACACCCACAGACGGCCCTCTCCTCGGGTCTGGCCATCCCTGCCCCTGGAGATGAACACGTCCCCTCCCTCTGTCCTGACAGCAGAGCCCCCAGTGGGAGCCACACAGCAGTCTCACCTTCTTGACGCAGTCCTCGTCCGTCAGGCGCTGCTGGATCAGCTTGATGAGCAGCGGGCCGGGGACGCTCTAGAGGGAAGAAGACCGCCTGAGGGTCACGGTGAGGAAGAGCCCACGCTGGCAGCACCCGACTGCCCTCCTGCCTCAGCCGCCAGCACCTTGCCCATCCAGTGCCGTCAGCGCCCGAGGCAGCTCCGCCGGCCACCCCAGGCCCCCCAAGCCTGGCCTGCAGGGCCGCCCGCTGCCCCTTCGCCCCAGGATCTCCTTGCTGCACTAACCGCGTGGCCGTGCGTCAGCGTCCCCAGTACAGGGCAGAGCTCGCAAGGAGAGGGCAGCTCTCACTGCTCGGTGCCCTCACAGGGTGCGCAGGAAGGGGCCCAGGCTCGTGAGAAGAGCTCTTCCCAGCTGCACGTTTGGTGACTGCCAGTGGCAACAGCACACTGGCCATGGGTGGTGTCCACATCACACAGTGGTCAGGTGCTGTGGAGAAGGGCTTCCCCAGAGAAGGGCGGCTAGGTACCAGCCAACTGACCACCGTCCCAGGGCCCAGCTGACAGATGAGAGCGCGAAGCTTCAAATCCCTCGTCCGTGCTGCGAGCAGGGACGCCTGGGTTGCCCATGACCCTGTTCAAGCCGCACTGTCCTTATCCCTTTTTTAGAGAGGAGGGAGCTGGGCTGGGGGGGGGGAGTCAAGGCCTGTCCCCAGGGTGACACAGTCAAGTGGACAGGGCAGGGCTGGAAGCCAAGACGTGTAGCCAGCGCCGTCTTTGAAGCACGGCGCCCTCTGCCCGCCCACTCAGCCCGGCAGGACCAACAGGGCAGCGGGACGGGCCAGGGCAGGAAGTTGGAGCCGGCCTCCCTGGGCGCTCCCTCTTCAGCAGAGCCCAGGTCTGGGTTCACAGCCACGTCGGAGCTGAACTCACAAAGCCTCGGACGCCCACAGCCCACGCCCACAGCCCACCCCTCCCCAGAGTCCCCTCTGCCCAAGGTCCCTGAGAGCTGGCGCATCTCCCAGGCCCCACACAGGAGCCTCCAGGCCACCCAGCCCACACCCCCAGCTACATGGGGCCACCCTGTCCCCAGGTGCTGCAGAGGCCCACGGGCGCCTGGCTGAGGTGCAGGCAGAGCTGCCTCGTGCCCTTTCCACCAAGCCGGGGACGGTGCTCGGCTCGCAGAGGAGCCCCTACCCAGCTTCCAGTGTCCCCAGGCTCTGGCCCCCGGGCAGCACTGACATGATGCGGGAGGAGAGGCCGGGCCTTTAACTTGAGAAGCCATGTGTAAGGGGTCACAGTGACCAGGTCCTGCCCCCAGGTGCTGTGAAAAGCACCTCAGGGGACAGATCTGGCATGTCCCAGGGCTCCTCGAGCAGGCTGTGACACAGAAATGGTGCCGCTAAGGGTACGCGCCCATGGCAGCCTCTGTGCGTGCTTTGTGCGGTGGGGAGCAGGCCTCCCGCCTGAGGCGCACCTCGTCCCGCCCCAGCGAGGGGACAGGCCGGGCTGGGCTCACGCTGGCACAGATGAAGGCGAGCCCTGGACAGCGGGGGCACCTGCGCGCGCACAGCAGGGGAGGAGGGCGGGGCTGCCCACTCCTGGGGCACAGGTTCCCGACAAGAGCAGGCTGGACAGGGACACTGAGGGTGGAGCCGGAGCAGCCACTCTGCAGGCATGAGGGCTGTGAGGGAATGAAGAAAAAGAGAGAAACCAGGCAGCCCCCGAGCAGCTTCTCCAGGGTGTGGAGTTGGGGAAAAAAAAGAAGAGCAGACAATAAGAGCACGAGGGAGGGAGCACCTCGCCTGGGAATAGGGTCTGCAATGTGTTCGCCTGAAAGTCGGGGGCCACCAGGTCTCTATGAAGCGGACAGAGAAGACCACCTGAAAGCAGAGGCAGGGGGCTGACATGGGTGGGGAGGAAGGGGCGGAGCGGGGGCAGCCTGCAGCAGGCCCTTCTGCACCCTTCCCTGAGACCTGGGTCCCATGACATTTCAGCCCCAGCCCCCACACTGTGCCCCGACCTCTGGTGCAAGCCGGTGGCCCTGCGCCACGCCCGGCCTGCGGTCTGCTCTGCCGTGGGGCACTAGGCCCTGCTCTCCCCACAGGCCTTCAAGGAGGCAGTGGTGGGGGACGGCACCTGGAGAAAGGCGCAGGCCCAGGGAGGGTCAAGGGACAAGGAGGTATCTTCTGCTGGTGTCCAGGGAAGCCCCCCAAGACTGGGGGCCGCAGGGCTCCCCCCGCCCCAGGAGAGCTGGTTCCATCCTGGGGCTGTCTTCCTCCTGACAGCACCCGCTCAGGAGGCGTGTTCCAACAGGGACAGGGACGCGGGACGCCAGTCAGGGCGCAGGAGGGTGCCAGCGGAGGACGGGGTTGAAAGGCGGCAGGTGGGGTGGGGCGCGGCACCCCTGCAGGCTGCACCGCGGGGGACAGGCCGCAGCTTTGAGCAAGGCCGTCCAGGCCCCCACGTCCCTGCCACTCTGCTGTCTCCGTGCCAGCTTTGATGTGTCGCGTCAGCAGCGGGGCTTTCGGGCTCTCCCCGAAGCCCTGCCAACCGTCTCTTCAGAGTCGGGCTCCCCCTTCCTGAGCTCTGTGGCTCCCCCCAACCCCAGAGCCTGGCTTTCAGGGAAGAAGGAGGGACAAGTGGACAGAGCCTGGTGAAGCCACCCCTGGTCACAGGAGTGCCCCTGGCCTCTGGGCTCCCTGCTGCCCACAGACCTTCTCCCGGCCACAGCGCTGGCTCTGGGGCTCCTGGGCAGAGGCGCTCCCAGAGGCACCGGGTAAGCGCTGGCCCACGGCCACTGGCTTTTCCTGGACTGGCTTCTTCACACTGTGCTGACACAGCGGCTGCCTAACACCAGCCCTGTCCCTGGGTCACCACGGGGCGTGGCGTTTGCTCAGGGGTGACGTGGGCCAGCTGAGGTGCCGGTCTCTGTCCCCACTCTCTGCCAGGCTCCTGCGGGGAGGTTCCTGAGCTCCCCGGGGAGCCTCGGAGACTTCCTCAGAGACCCCTCACTGCAAAGTCTGCGCTGCCAGATCAGGGGGCTGGCAGGACCTGTCCCCTAGAATCTGGGAGACCTCAGGGACAGGGGGTGAGAAGTCGAGGGGACAGAAGAGGCTCTGAAGGAAGACAACAGAGGCCAGAGCGGCACCACGGGGCCCACCGGATGGGAGAGGTGTGGCTCCAGGAGCACAGAGCTGTCCTCAGGTCACCTGCTGCCACCCTCCTCCACCCCAGCCTCCACCAGGCCTGTCTCTCTCCAGCGCCCAGTGCCTGGAGGGAGGGAGGGAGGACGGGAGAGGGGAACCAGGGCCCACCTCGGCTCGGCCTCCAGGAGGGAGGAGCAGGCCGGCTGGAGACGGGTGCCAGCAGCCAGAGGACTCCGCAGCGAGAGCCCGTGGCCTGTTTCCCGGAACTGCTCAGCACTCTTGGGAGGACTGAGCCTTGTGTGTGCACAGAGGCAGGGCGAAGGCTTTGCTTGGCACATGGCACATGGCCCCAGGGTACCCTGCCCTCCAAGCCTGTACCCTCCTCCACCCCAGCCGGGGCCTAGCGCTGAGTAGGTAGTCCAGCATTAGTCTAGATGTATTAGCCAACCAGCTGCCACCGACTGACTGGTGGAGAGAAGGCCTGCGGGCGCCCGGGCCCTGGCTTGTGCTTAGTGTGGCGCTGCTGGCCTCCAGGGAGGCCAGCCTCTGCGGGGGGCAGGAGGAGTTCATCTTCCCAGCACTGAGAGGGCAGGGAGGCAGCAGCCCAGGGGCCACGTCTGGGTTAGCACCAGCCATGAGAGAGCTCACCAGGAGGCAGAGCCAGGAAGGCAGGGAAGAGGGGGCTTAGCAAATGGAGCTGAGCCTTAAAAGACTCAAGTCAGCAGCCAGTTTGACGGGGACTTTCATGGGCGGCCTGCCTGGGCGGCCCTCCCTCCGCAGCAAGGGGGCGGCTCAGGCTGCCGCCTGACGGCCATGACCTTGGCTTTCATCTTCCCCCCAACAAGACATCCCAGGAAGCACTGGATGAGGTCTGAAATGGGCTGGTAATTAGCATAACGAAGCCCGGGAGGAATTTCCTGAACTTCCTCCTCCTGGCTGAATTCTTGAACCCAATCTGGAATCTTCAGCCTAGAGATGAGCTGCCTCCCCAACACGGAAAGCAGGCACTGGGGAGCCATGTTCCCAAACCCTACTCCTACCCACTAGAGTAGGTGTTCCCAAAGCGTGACCACAGCTCTGTCCCCAAGACTGTGGGGGCTCTGGGGGGACAGTGACTCACTGCAGGTGACCGACCTCCCTGAGTGAGGTCTTCCTGTCCTCCCATCAAGCTGCTGTCCAGGCCACCCGAGCCCGGGATCTGCCTGCAGCACCCCTCATCTCCAAGCACAGCCCTCCCCCACCTGAGGGCTGCGTCAGGGCCTCCGGGAGCCCTCTCCCCCACCTGCCACGGCCGACTGCTCCTGGCACACCTGACCAGCCGGCTCGGGCAGAGCCCTCTCCTGAGAATGGGGCCTCAGCACTGCCTCTGGGGGCAGTGTGACCAGAAGACACAGGACCTGGGACAGAGGGGTGGTCACAGTGGTAAGAGCACGGGCAGGAGAGAGAGGCAGGGGGAGGAGGGACTGCAGAGAATGGGGTGAGAGAGGACGCGCCCCAAAGAGGCTGAGAGAAGCCCAGTGTGATCCCTGGCTGCTGAGCCACATCCCACGAGTCAGCGTCCCCTTTCAGGTCCACCTTCTGCTCTGAGCAGCCTGGGTGCATTCCTGCCACCTGCAGCCAGGGACTGGTCAGGAGAGTTGTCCTGCACTCACTGGTGGCCCCCCGAGGCCTGGAAACCACTTCCAAGTTCTTGGAGGATCAGGGGCCACAGGTACTCGTGGTAGGGACTTGTCATTGGATGAAGACAGACACAGGGAGACTAGAGGTCTCTCCTGCTGGGGGTCAGGCCTGGACAGAGCTGAACTGACCACAAGGCAGGAGGAACCTGTTGGACCCAGGGAAGGTGGACCCAGAGCCCCACCCCCATGGTGCCCTCAACTCTCCACTTCTGTCAGATTCCTGGCAACCGTCTTCATCTGCTACTCAACCTGAAGGACACTGTGGACACCAGTGTCCTTTAATGTGGCGCCTGACTGAAGTTTGCAAGTTTGGCTTGAAAGTGCCGTCGACCATCACATGTGCTTCTGTCTCAGGTGTGAGGTCACAGCTGGCTGGGTCTGGCTGGTCAAGTGCTCCTGAGTCCAATTTTAAGCCATGGAAGGGCCGAGGGGTCCAGTAGTGGCCTCAGTCTGCAGGCAGACCAGGAGGCCAAGGGAAGGCCTGGAGAGCCCAGCACACACTGAGCGCCCAGAAACCCCAGGCTGCTCTCCCTCCTCACCGTGCCCCCACAAACAGGAGAAGAGTCTCGGGGAGAAGCGCCCAGATGGCAGGTCCCGCCTCAGGCTCAGACAGAACTGAGTTTCTGTTTGAATTAAAGAGAGACAACTCCTCATCCCTGAGGTTCCCTTTAAAAGACGTCCACAAACATGAGGCTGGTGGGGTGGTGCTTGGAAACAGCACATCTAGTCCTCATGCATGCGCCCACAGTGGCCATGAAAGGGACAGACTAGATGGGAGCTGCCCGGCCCTGAGGGTGGACACTGTGCCAGGGGAAATGCCCCTCAGGGCCAGCTCTGGGGCCTTCCATCAGCTGGAGGGGCTGACACCCTTCCAACCCACAGCTGAGCTCAGCCCTGGGTGACCCTGTGTAGGCCACCAGGTCCACCATTTGCAGGATGGAGACCACTAAGCAGCAAAGAAGCCAGCCCGGCCCCTCCTCACTCCAAACGCCCCTCCCGGCCGGCAGGCCACCCCTCCTCAGCACAGCTCGCTGGGTCTCACTTCACCCCAGCCTCCCGCCCGCCAACCCAAAGGAAATGGAGCCTCCCAGGCACGCAGAGGGGCGGGGGTCGGGGCGCGGGAAGGCTGCCACCTGCCCAGCCCCCCAGCCAGGCCAGTCCTACCTTGGATTTCTGGTAATGCTTCCTGGCTTCCTCAGCCACAGAGGAAGATTTTCTTTCTATCAAGTTGTCGCTGGTGAGGAGATTGCTGCTCAGGTGTTTGCAGAGCCACATTGCCTGAGGGAAGGGGAGCCCAGCGAGGGCACCAAGAGTCACGCCACGCCGTGCCCAGGCCCCTCTATGGTGGACCGAAAAGGCTGCTGGGGGAGGCGTCAGTATTTGTGGCTGGAGGGAGACCCCACGGGAAGGCCAACCCGCAAAGTCCCTCCAGCCTGATTTCTGCCTGTCGGCACCTGCTCCGCCAGCCCCAGGCTCTGGGGAGGCCAGGAACCTCCCAGTGGGGGGGCCTCCTGCCCTGGGCCTCCTGCCCTGGGCCTCCCTGCCCTGGGCCTGCCTTTCCAAGCTCTGTGGACCACAGGTTTTTAATTCAAGGAAGGGTTAGGCCAGGAAAGGTGGAGACAGAAATATGGTCACAAGCCACACTCATTCATTTCTTTCTTAAACTTGGGGCATCAGTGAACTGACTTTAGTTCGTTGATGACTGCCGTGTGTAGTCTACCAGAGGGGACATGTTTACGGCCTAACAAGGCAGTGAAATGTTCTTAGCTGGTGGCCATTTCAGCACCTGGGCTGTGTGGACCTTAACTCTCCCTGCTCCTCCTGCTACAGGATGCGTCAGGGACAACAGTGGGAAGGGCCCTGTCTGGGTCTTACGCTGGAAACTCCAAGTCTGCGTCCCCACACAGGCTCAGGGTGAGCGTGGTGAGTTCACCATGAGGTGTGAGCTTCAATACCAGCTTCCAGCTTCCAGAACCTGCTTCTTCAGGGGACAAACTCGATGACCTCAGCCTTGCAGGGACCTGACAAAGGAAGGTCTCTGTGCTCTAGGCTGCTCTGACCGGCAAGTCCCTCCTAGTGATCAGAGAAGAGCCTGAGCAAGGCAAAGATGGCCCTGACGGTAGCAGAACAAAAGCCCTTTCCCAAAGGGAGACCCGCCCCTGAGCTTCTAGACCCTCCTTGACCACCTAGCTCAGTAAATAGGTGCCATGTCTGTCTAATGCAGACGTCATTCAAGGTCCCTGTGTCACAATCTGCCAAGGGAGCCTTTCCAACTGGTTTTCTGAGCCCTGTCCTGGGAGATTCTGATGAGGTCGATCTGTAGAGAAGCCCAGGAACTGGCATTTTTCAAAGCACCCTGGTAATGCTAACGACCCATGGGCCTGGAAGCCCCCAGTTTCTAAAGCAAAACAGCGAGAGAGGCTGGGTTCTGGGGAGCTGGCTGTGGACAGGAGTGCAGCTGGCAGCCCCAGGCTGAGGAGTCTGAGACAGACAGAGGGAAGTTGACAGGTGGACAGAAGCATCAGCTACACAACTCCAAAGGCACAGCAGATGCAGGGTGCTCTGTGTAAGGAGCCAGCTCGGTTCCTTTTAGGAATAAAGATGCCAGTTAATTGGGAACAGGCTGCCCCATGACTCTAGTCCACAAGGAGTGTGCAGAGCAGTGACTTGGTCACTGGGGAAGGCTCGCTGCTGTCCGCCAACAAGATTTTAGAAGGCAGAAAGACTCAAATTTTGACATGTTGGTGGCACTTAAAAAAAAGGAGCCAGGCATAATGGTGTATGCCTGTATAATCCTAGCGGCTTGGGAGGCTGAGGCAGGGGGATCACGAGTTCAAAGCCAGCCTCAGCAACGGCGAGGCACTAAGCAACTCAGTGAGACCCTGTCTCTAAATAAAATACAAAATAGGACTGGGATGTGGCTCAGGGGTCGAGTGCTCCTGAGTTCAATCCCCATAGCAGCTCCGGGTCAGCCTTTGCCTTGGGGGAGGAGTCACAGAGGAGTGAGGAGGGCTGAGCTGTTTCCTGCATCTTCAAAGCACAGTCTCCTTAAAATGGAGAGAGACCAAAGAAAAGAGCAAAATGATAAGCATGGGTAAGATCTGGGAGTCGGGCACATGAATAACTCTAATCTAGTTTTGTGCTTTTCTGATTATTCAAAATATTTCATAATCAAAATTTTAAGGCTGAATCTTAAGACCAAACACTCTAACTTCTTGGGATGTCTCCTAGGCTCCAGTTAAGGGTGTGCAAAGGTAGCACTCAAGGAGCTGGGGTGGTGGCTCAATGGTGGAGCGCTTGCCTCACATATGTGAGGCCCTGGGTTCCATCCTCAGCACCACATAAAGATAAATAAATAAAATAAAGATATTGTGTCCACCTACAACTAAAAATATTTTTAAAATAAAAAGATCCCATTCATGTAGGCATGACAAGACTCCAGAAGGTGCATCCCCAATGTTGAAGTCTCTTGTCTCTGGGTGAAGGGGAAGGGTATTTTTGGTTTTTCTAGGTTTTCTACCAGGATCACACATAGGCTTGGTAACAAGGAAATAAGAAGGAAGAGAGGCAAAGAAGAGGAACGGCCCTGCTCTGCTGACAGCTCACTGAGGTCTGGGCTCCTTCCTGCTGGAGCACAAATAAGTGATCACGGCACCCCAACATTTAATATGATACACTTACGATAGTTGTTTTCCCCGAGGCGGGCGGACCTAATATCACAATCTTCGGCACTGTGGAATAAAAAGACCTGAATGTCACCGCTCAGGAAGACAAGCAGCCTCCCATGCCCACGGTGTGCTGGGTGTATTTATCTCTCTCCTCCCCAGATTTCATTTCTGCCGGTGACACAGCCATTTGTAACCCGGTGGCTCGGAGACGCTCGCACCATAGAACATATTCTCTGTGTTTAGAGAGGTAAGTGATCACTGAGATGGTTTATTTTTCTATCTCCATGGGGACGTGGACACAGCAACTTGTTTGCCAAACTAATAAATATCAAGAACAATTGGGATTTCAAACACCATAAAGCATTTTAAACAGGGACTTTGTCTCAGGGACACTCTCTCAAAGTTGTATTTTATGTAAATCGACCTTCGAAGCTCTTTTTATATTTATGCCTTTTTACTTAGCAAATTGTATTCCCGTCATTTTATAGAGGAAAATAATGGAAAAAAGCCTGGGACGCCTGGGCCAGATTTATAAAACCTGAGACGGGAAAGTCTTTGTTTTCAAATATGAGCATTTCTATGCAAATGGAAGACACTGGCAGCTCATGTGTCACCACAGCCCTGCCTCTGGAATGTTCTTGGCCCCGCAGGATTCCCGAAGCGGTTCCCACATGGGGAGCATGTGCTGAAGATCATGCACGAAGACCACCATTGGGGGGAGCAGCGGGCATGTGCGTGGGGTCAAGCTGCGGAAACAGCACGCTGTGTCTGGACAGACAAACCTGCAGTGGCCTCTTTTGAGCGCCATCTTGGTTACGTGGCCTCCCCCCACTTGTGGGAAGGGAGTCATCTTATCAGGCCCTGCTTGCGTGGGCACAGGTCACTGTCTGCACAGAGAGCCCATTCCTGCCAGGCCAGCAGGAAGGAAACTCAACCATGCAGAGGGATGTGTATGACCTACTTTGGGGACAGACAGTGAAGGAGCCAGGTGCTGTCCTCTTGGACAGCAATTTAATGGTCAGCACTACCTTGCCCTGCCAGGCTGCTTGGCTTTAAACAGAGTTTTGCCCAAATTCACACAGCACTTTCATTTTCAGGGAAAACGTGGCAAGTTCAAGGCGATTCACTGACCCCCGGCACAAGCTCCAGAGCACTCTTGACGCTGGCTGGAGGCTGCTGAGAAGAGCAGGCTGGGTGGCTCCAGGTGGCCAGTCAGCTGGGCACGGGGCTGACCTGCAGCCTATGGTCTCTGGTCTCCAGCAAGGGAAGTGCTCTCTCCCCAGCTCATGGCTTTCTGCTGCCACTTGGCTTTTACGGGTCCCTAACAAACTGCTGTAACCCCCTGAGTTCTCTACGACTCTGTTTATAAAGCTGCCTGCCAGGCCCTGATGTTGGAATGGAGGTGACTGCTTCTCAAAGCCCACAGCCCTTCCTGCTGGTGGCAGTGTGAACGAGGGGCATGGGAGGCAGGCACAGGGCAGCCAGAGTACCTCCTCCAGCCTGGCCCTTGCCCAGGAGTACTGGGTGCCAGGAGTACTCAGCAAACCGCCGCAGACACTTTTCTTTCCAAGTCAGGTTGGGCTGGAGCACTTCCTGCCCAGACTGCTGCCCATAGGCTTCTGGCCAAAAGTCCCTGTGTGCCTTTAGTGCCCCTGGATCCTCGGAGGCAGGTCCTCCAGAAGGGTGGCCCTGCCATCCAGAGCCTCATCTAGCTGGGGCAAAGAATCAGTCCCTCCTTGAGCTGGGGCCTCTGGGCCTTTCTCGTTCTTCCTCTAGATGTCCCTTCATACTCCTGTCTTGTCACTTGTCACTGCCCTATCAGGAATGTCCTCCTTACTCCTGCTGTCTCCTCCTTTCATCTTGGGTCTCCTGTCGGGGCTCTCGACCACGTGGCATGCAGGGCCACCTCCACCTTGGAGAGCTTCATCCCACAGCAGAAACACCACGGCCCTGGGGGCGGGTACCAAGGCTCATCCCTTTTGCCACCCCCACTGCAGCACCCATGGGGGCCCCCTTGGCTGGCTGGCTGTGATCACCGAGTATCCACCACCCTTGTCACCACCATTACTGCCATCTGACAAAGAGCTCCCTCTCCAGCCTGCATTCTTGGAACAAGCTGAGGAGCCAGATGTGAGTCAAGCAGAAAAGGGGTTTAGTCAAAGACCAATGTGGCTGGGAGAGTCCCGCACAGGCTGGGAGCAGGCCCAGGGCTGCCCGCTAACTAAGGCCACCAAGTGTCCAGGGGTACAAGCATGGCTGGGCAAGGCACCACACACTGCAGCTTGTGCCCATGACACTCTGACGTGGGTAGGTGAGCCACAGGCTCCACTCTGCCACTGCTGCCCAGGAACCAGGCCTGGTGGAGACACCAGGGAGAGGCTCGTGCGACCAGGGCAGCTGAGGCCACAGGCCCAGGCCTCAGCCATCACAGAAGCGCAGAAGGCCTTCCAGCATCTGAGGTGGGGGCCAGGACAGGGACTCGGGGGCCCATTCTCTCTCTGGCCCTTGCAGGGCCCTCACCCTGGGTGAGAAAGCCTCGACAGAGGGGAACACACTTGAGGGTCTGGTTAGAAATGAGGGGGCTTTGGGGTCACCTAGTCAGGTGAGACTGGAGCTGGGGTACCATGGACGGCTTGCAGAGAGGGACAGCAGGGAGATGGCCAAAGGCAGGAGGCTTCATGCCATGAAGTGAAGCCTTGCTCAGGCCAGGAGGGTGCTGGCTTGACCCTGGGGCCACAGAGTGTGCCCAGTGCCCTAAAGGGGCTCCCAGCACAGGCTCTGCTGTGCCCCAGAACACCGGCCAGACCGGGCTGGGCTCAGGGCTGGTGGCACCTGAGAGGAAGGGCAGTGCATGGCACCAAGGGCATTCTGGGACCAGTCCAAATCCCACGTGCTGCATTTGTTCTGGCAAAGTTCCTGGGCCCATGACACCAGGGGACCCCCCGCCGGGTTTCTATAAGTGGCTCCCAAATTGTACACATCTACAAAAATGCTTTAACAGGGGAACGTGCGCGGCCTTTCCCCCACCTAAGTTCTCACACTCATTTATGTGATTAATTTCAGTTCTTAAAATCTAACACCTTGAAGCTCCAGCCTGCTCATAAGTAATTATTTATAAACAGTGTCATAAAAGGCTGCTTGACTGCCAAGAGTAATCAACTTCCTCCAACCACTTCAAAGGAAATCAAAGAACCTTTCCATCCACAGAGCCTTTTGAGGTTTAACTAGGAGCATGATTTAAAATTCACAGGAACCCCTTAGGTATTGAGCTTAATACACAGCTTTCCTGGACAAACGTTTGATAGGAGACGAAACACACCATTACCTTCACCAGCGCCGGCTCTAATATTGCCCAGGGCCACTGTAAATGCTCACTTTGTACTAAATATGCTCTTCTCGTGGTGAAGGGGCTGCCAGCCCTGCTGTGGCTCCCTCCCCACCCTCCTGCACGCTGGCTCTCGGGCAGAGTGAGTCCAGAGCTGCGCTCCGCTGCCCCAGCCGTGGCCAGTGTTGCCTGTGTTCAGGTTGACCTTGCGGCCGGCACCAGAGGGTTGAGGGCCTGGCTCCAGTTAACTCAGGCCACCGTGTGGCTAGAAGAAGACATGCCAATCCCATAACTACCCAGGACACTGGAAATATTTGTTGGGTGTCACATGACCTCACCCAGCCCCAGCAGTCTTCTAGAACACAATAAGATTGGCTTGAACTGGCTCCAGGCAACTCCTAGAAAAGCCACAAAAGCAATTTGTGCCCCACCCTCCCTAGAACAGTGTGGTAAACTATTCTATGAAGGCTCCAGAGTATTTTTAATCTATGGTAATTTCCCCACATAACTGAAAACAAAAAATGAAAATTTAAAAATTGGCATTTTTTACTTTTGATAGGTTAGGGGTAGCATCTTTTGATCCTATATAATTGAATTTACCTTTTGTTTTTCAATAATTTGAACTAGACAGGTGAACATAGGCTGTGCTTCACCTGTGAGGGGGCCAGAGCAAGGGGAGGGAAGCCTGTGGACAGAATGTCCCCACATCCACAAAAGCTGACAGTCCAAGGCCTGGGAGTGGGGTGCAAGGCTGAGGGAACAAAACTACCAGGACCCTGACCACACCTGGGAGCCCTTGGGCTGGAAAGCTTTGAGGGTGGACGGAAGGCACCCGTGGCTGGGAGCTACAGAGCGGGTCTGGATTCTTCTCCCTGCCTGAGAGCGAAGGCAAACAGGAGGAAGGAGCAGCTCCGCCAAGGGCAGCCTTTGGAAAGGCACGAGCCCTGCAATGAGGGGGTGACAAGGGGGCCGTCCTAAAGAGAGGAGGTGGCTGTCCAGCCAACACCAGCTGCATCCAAACCAGAATGATATTGGGACTTCAAAATCCTGATGCACTGGGCAGTGTGACACCAAAACAAATCCCCAGGCAGAGCAGCAAGGTGGGAACGTGAGGAGAAGGTGGCTTCAGGGTCAGACTCTCAAGCTCCTAGGCCAGGGCCCAGTGAAGCCTGGAGGTCAGTGGCTTCAGCACACAGGGCAGGGCCTGCAGGCGCCTGGCAGGAGAGGTAGGAAGTGCCAGCACAACCCCAGGCCTTTGTCACCAAGCACAGCTTTTAATTTACAAAAATCTCATTAAGCTCTTCACCAACAAAAAGCTGAACATCACAATTGCCAAGCCCCTGTCCCCCACAGGGGCAAGTGGGCTTGTCATCCCCTCGGCCGTCACTGGCCACCAAGGAATAGGCCAGGCTTCATGGCCCCGCTTGCAGAGAGGGAGACTGGCACCAAGCCTGGGCAAGGACCCCACTGTCACTTGCTACTCTGGAGACAGTGACCTTCTCGGGTGGGTGGGGCTGTGGAGGCTCCCTGCCTCCTGGGCTGCACTTGGGCCCTCTCTTGCCTCAGCCTGGCCGCCGCTTCCCTTCCCCTTTGAGTGTCACTTTGCTTTTACTCCCACCTTGGTCTGCCTCTTGACTTCACTGTCCCTCTGCCTCCTTTGCCACTGCTGGTGGTGGCCCAGGACAGCAGTGCTGCCAGCGGCCCTGGAGTAACAGGCGGAGCTCAGCCAGGCAGCCCCAGCTCTGCCTCAGGGTTGGGAAGAGGAAGGCAGAAACTTTCCCTCTGAAAACCAGGAGGAGCCTCCCACCCCACATGACAACCCACAGGGAACAGGCGTCTCAGGAGAGTCGCTGTAGGGCACAGTGAGCCAGGTCTGGCCAGTGAGGGAAAGACTGGTGGGCGGCCCCCAACATGGCTCTGCCTCCACCTGGGCATATGGGCGCTCATCAACCCCAGCTGGTGAGCCAATGCCCAGCCACCCGTGCCCACCTGCAAACTCAGAAAAGGGCACTGATGGGGCTTTCTTTGAACCCAGGGCAGGGATCTACGCAATGGCATGGGGTCCAAGAAGCACGTTCCTCTGATGCGCCACAGCCCAGCCTGAGACCATGGGTCACTGCAGTGTCATGAGCCCCCTTCCTCCTCCAATAACCTGTGCTGCTCCTCACCTGAGGCTGTCTGCGACCCACCTCAGGCACCTCAGGCCTTGTCCCTTTCAGCCACACCAGTACTGACTCCTTAAAGCAGCCATGCTCTGGTGAGTTATCAAAGCTCCAATACGCTGGTTTTCCCTGACAGCTCAATCCTCCACCTGGCAAATCGGCCCAAGGCACCTTGGAGTGAGGGGTCTGCTTGCTCCAGGGCCTCCCCGGCCCCTCCTCCTGGTTCTGCACTCTGGCCTTGGGTCTGGCTGACCTGCACCTGGCCAAGGCTTGGGGAGCTCTGGAATTCATTAGCTGGCACCGATAATGAGACCGTCTGAAAAGCCCAGTGCTCGCATGTCTAGGTAGACCAGAAACCAAACGCACCTGACAAGAGGACTGATCAGAGAGCTTAAACCCAACAGGCGACATCAGCTAGGGCAGGCGGAGGCATTAATAATTGATTCCGTGGGCCATTCTGAGGTTTGCATTTTAATAACTTGGCAAGAGAATTTTTATTAGTTGCGTTCCAAAAGAAATGAAGGCATTTTTCAATTAACCACCTCAAGTTGTCAAAGCTCCTCCTTCCCCTGCTCCAACTCCTTTCAAACACAAGTAGGACAGAGTGGCTCCTCTTATGGCCAGGGTCGGGCAGGGGCTCTGAAGGAGCAGGGGCCTGCACACTGAGTGCTCACCATTATCATTGTTGCGCTGTAAGTGCTTGATCAGGAAGGAGATGGGGTCCTCAGGCTGGTAGATCAGGAGCTGCTCCAGCATGGTCTGTGGGCACAGGGCAGACAGAAGCACTTAGCACCCACAGGGGCCCTGGCTGCCACAGCTACCAGACATGGGCCTTCTTTCTCCATTGCACCCTGCCAAACAGGCCTTCAAACTGGGACCTAGCCCTGCCCCATCTGGCATCTGCTGGAGTCCCCATGAGCAGAGGCATGAGGGGGGGAAGCTGTTGTGGGGGGGGCACCTGGAGGGACAGCACCCTGACTCAGAGCAGGCTGTCCCAGGGCCTTCTCCCCTGGTTCCCTTTGTACTTCCCATCAAGCCTCCTCCCAGTTCTCCTCAGGCACCCCACTGTCAGCATCTCCAGAGTCTTAGCAGAGCTATTTCCTAGCCTGGAAGGCTTCTTCCTCATTCTTGTCCTAGTCACCTTCTACTGGGTCCTCAGATTTCAACGGGAACATACCTTTCTGATCATATGCACTAGGTAACCACAACTGTCCCATGCTCCGGCACACCTGCCCTTGCCTCACCTTGTCCCTGCCTGCCTGATCATCCCCCCAGCAGGCCATGGGTTCTGTTGATCTGTCTGTGTGATCCCCAGGGCCCGTCACAATCCCAGTAGGTGCCCAGCACATTTGTTTATGGGGACAGTTAACCACCTGGGTTGCTACTACCTGGGTCCTTCCAGAGGGGGCAGAATAGTTATCACCCAAGTGTGGAAATAGTCCTCAGAAACTCTGGCCATTTAATCCATTTGAACAAACATGTTAAGGGCAAGCAGCTGCCAGGGCTTTTGAACAAATGGCACAGAAATGAACTGCTGGCTGATATGAGTGAGGCTGGTGGGACGAGGAGGAAGGGGCTTCAGTCCTGAAGGCAGAGGAGGTGTGGAGCAGTAAAAGGAACACCAACGTGTGACACAAGTCCTGGTCCCAGCCCCACTCCAAGTCTCACCGGCAAGTCCCTTCCCTCCTCTGAGCTCAGCTCCTCCACCTTTTCAATGGAACAGGTGGACTAAATCCATGTTTGCCTGTCACTGGCTGCACTGAGAGGATTTTAGACAGTTTGCTCATGATGATGTGGTTGCATATTTAATGTGTATTAAAAAAAATAAATACATCAAATCTATAATTTCAAGGATTTTGCTTAAGATGAGGCAAAAGGAGTTAACTTTTAAAAGTAAGTTGATTTCAAGAAATGATTTGGGGGCTGGGGATGTGGCTCAAGCGGTAGCGCGCTCGCCTGGCATGCGTGTGGCCCAGGTTCGATCCTCAGCACCACATACAAAGATGTTGTGTCCGCCGAAAACTAAAAAATAAATTTTAAAAAAATCTCTCTCTTTAAAAAAAAAAAAAGAAATGATTTGGTTAAAACAGGGGGACGTGGTAGTATGTGAATCTATACATCTCACAAATTTCAGATACACATCCAAACCAAGCCTGTAGTATGATGCCCCACATCAGTTTTCAGATTTTGACAAGGTACTCCTGCTGTGTTCCATGTCGTCACTGGGGGAACCTGGGCGAGGCTAGATCAGAATTCCACACTGTTTGTGGGATTGAACCCAGGAGTGATGTCTGTGAGCTAGACCTCCAGCCCTTTTGAAAAGGTTACTTTGAGCAAGGTCTCAGTTGCTCACGCTGGCCTGGAACTTTTGATACTCCTGCCTCAGCCATCCAAGAAGCAGGGATTACAGAGGTGTGTGCCACTGGCACCTGAAATCCATATTATTTTTGTGACTTTCCGAGTCAGAAATTATTCTAAAATTAAAAATGTTAAATGAAATGGTCAAAACTCTGGCGGAAACATCCAAGCAGGGAAGGACTGGAAAGAGGCAGCGGAAAGCCCTCCTGGGTGGCCCCCCGGCAGGGCGCCAAGACCCGGGACCCTGCGCCGCCCGACGCGCCGCCCCGCTCGGTGACCGCGCGAGCCCCGCAGGCTCCGCGGGGGGCTCGGCTGCTGGAGGCGGGCTGCAGCCGGGCTGGCTCTGCGGCGTGCAGGCCCGAGGCTGCGCCCGAGGGCGCGGGCGGCGGGGACGCTGCGGGGCCCGCGGAGGGGTCACCTGCATCAGTTCGAAGACGTGTTTCTCCTCCCCGTACTGGGGCATTTCCGGGGGGATGAGATGCGGGGCCGAGGTAGCGTCCATGTCGCGCGGCGCGCGCTGCCTAGCAACTGGCAGCCAGGGCGCCGCCGGCTGCGTCATCAGAGCGCGCCGCGCCCCGCCCACGCCCCTCGCGGGGCCTCAGGTGGCCCGACGACAGCCCAGGCGCCCCGCTGCCGCCCCCGCCCGCCCGGCCCGCGGCCGGCTCCCCGCTCCCGGCCTCCGTCTCCCCGTCTGCAGCGTGGCGCAGGCGTTCCAGACGGGAGGGCGCCCTCGCGGCGGTCCGCGACCCCAGCGGACCCCCGACCCCGGTGCGGCCCGGCGGCCACGTGACCCGAGCGCGGCCCCGCGGTCACAATCGCGCCGCGGCCCGCCCCCGCCGGCGCCCACCCCGCCCACTCCCGCCTCCCGAGTCCTAAGCAGGGCCTCCCCGCCTTCCTGGGCCCAGACGCCCACGGAGTCACGCCAGCCTGAGCTCTGTGCCCGTCCTGCACAAGCAAGGGTAAAGGGGCCGAGGGGGCGGGCGGGACGCGGCGCGGCGGGCCGGGGGCTCCGGCTGGCCAGCTGCCTGCTCTGTGCCTCCCTTCCCTCCCTGGTGCCGGAGGGGGTTAGTGAAGTCTCTGGACTGAGACTTGCAGTCAGTGAGCACGCGATACGCGGAGGCCGCTGTGGGTAGTAGTAGTAGTATCTTATCTTTGCGACAGCCATGTGAAATAGGCGCTGTCGTTCCCATTTTACAGGTAAGAAATTGGAGGATCAGACTGACGAGTCCCTCATTTTACAGATGCATAAACTAAGGCTCAGAAAGGGGGAAAAATCTTTCCCAGGGTCACTGGTCAAAGCAGAGGGAGATCCGGAACTGGAAGTAGGCATCCTGACTCCAGCCAACAGACACCCTCCAAAGTAAAACCAGCAGTGCTGCCTTTTTCCCCCAAAACTGCTTTCTCAAAGTGCACACATCTTGGTGGGCTTGTCAAACCCAAAGACAGCCGGGGAAGAAAAGGAAGCTATCTCCCCCGAACAAAGAACACAACAACCAAGCCTGCAATTTGTGGCAGAGAAGTTCAGTTTGCTTCTTGGACATTTCTGAAATGACGTACCTTTCTCCTCATTTATTTTAAGCCCTAGGCGTTTTTCATACCATGATTTAATCTTCTTTAGCAGCCTGGGAAAATACAAATCAATTAAAGCCTAAAACCTATCAGGTAATCATTTTTTTCCTCCCTCCTTCCCTAGATCCAGAAGTGCCTGCACCCTGTACCTTTCATCTACACTAATTTGGCTGCAGAGCTCTTGTTCAAGGGATGATCACTTTGGATAGCTTATTACAGCTCCTCTCGTTGACATTCCTGGTGTGCATGTCACAAGTTGCTAGGATCAAGAACCAAGTCAGTTTTGCTCTCAGGGCCACCAGCCAAGGTATTGCTGTATCCTTGGAGAACTTGGCAGTCTCAGGAATCCCCAAGAGGATGGCAGGGAGCTGGACTCAGCCCCCTAAATCCTAGTCCCTATTGCTTTGAGGTGGGTAATAGGGGAAGTCTAGTGGGAATGGGCGTGAGGCCCAGGGTGTAGCTAGTGGTTGAACCCTAGAAGGGGTCTGGCAATCTGACCTGTCCCCACCCCCAGCCAGTCTGATTTGTAGCAAGTTTGTCTCCAAGGAACAGCAGGGAGGGAGCCAAAAGCCCAGACTAGAAAGGTAGGCTGCGGGAAGAGTCCAGGCTTGCCCATTTCAGCTTGTGAAATAACACGGCCTCTCATTTCTAGGCTGAGGGGATAACTCAAGGTAAAGCATGCCCAGGGCTTGCTTACTTAGAGCCCTGACCAACTGTTCTCATGAGGACAGGGTGAGCCAGGATCTAGGGCTGGAGCATGCCTGTCCTTTGCCCTGTACCACATCCACCCAAAGTCCCTCCTGCAGAGACTGTGCGACTTGCTTCTCCCACATGCCCACCAAGCAGTTTCATGTCATCACCTATGCCCTGACTGATCTCCCACTCTTTAACAGGTGGCTTCTTCCAGGGCAGGGGGCCTGTCCACTTTGGCCAGTGTCATAGAACTCTGTACCTGGACAGCATCTGGCAAAGTGAAGACCTAGCAAGCAAATGCCTGCCATGTTTTTACCCCCTTGGCTTAGAAGCCTCCAGTGGTTCTTCTGAACACCCAGCCTGACCCCAGGACAGGGCCTGTCTGCTGCCCTCTTCTGCAACTGCTCAGTCTTCCTGCATTCCCCACCCCTCAACCCAGCCCACAGTCCCACCTCTCCACCTCTCCTACCCCAGCAGCCCCTGCTTCTTTCCAGGGGCACACAGTTGTGGCAATCACCTGCCATCGAATGCAGAGTTTGATCCCAATAGTTCTAGTGGCTGCAATGATGGTATTATCATATTGCAGGCCCGGGGTCTACACCTACACCTGTCACCTCATCTGGTATCCATCCCAAGACTGGGCAGCTAATGCTGCTCTCTCCCTATGGCATGTTAGGACACTGAGGAGTAGCTTGCCTGAGGTCAGCCACAGGGGTGGAGCCAGGGCCATTTTAACCACTCTGACCACAGCACTGTGGGCAAAGGCCAGCCTGACTGGGTGCACTCTCTCCCCTGGAAACCCATTTCTGCATCACTGTGACTTTTCTAGGTCTTCCCTCTGAGTCATTTGCAAACCCCAGACTGGATTAGGGTGGGGCAGGTAAGCACTTGCCTTGGCACAGCACTTAAGGGGCGGCTGGGCTGTGGCTCAATAGCAGAGCACTTGCCCAGCATGTGTGAGGCACTGGGTTTGGTTCCCAGCGCCACATGTAAATAAATAAAATAAAGGTCCATCAACAACTTAATTGGCACCAAAAATCTCAATGATCAACGTTTTTAACAGTATTTTCTAAAAATCAAAAGTAATGTTAAAATCCATTTAGAATATCAAAAATTGAAGTAAAAGTCAGATACTATTAACTGAATTTTCCTTTTGCCACAGGCTCTAGTGTGGCGCGGCACTATCAATCCTGTTCTTCCTTAAAATTCTGTCATTTTGTTCTTTGTAGAATTTTGTGTTCATTTTTAATTTTTTGTGTTTTGTATTCACTTTAAAAAATTTTTTTTTGGTTGTTGTATTTTTTTATACCTTTATGTTATTTATTTATATGTGGTGCTGGGGATCAAACCCAGTGTCTCACACATGCCAGACAGTGCTCTACCACTCAGCCCCAGCCCCAGCCACAGCCCTTATATTCACTTTTTAAAAAATATTTTTCTCTCGATTACTGATTTTTTTTGGTTCCCCCTCAAGTTTTGCAGGAGGCAGCTGACTCCTCCCTCACCCTAGTCCTAGTTGTGGTGAACCCAACTGCACGGGAAGCACCACAGAAGCCCAGTGTGCCCAGGTATGCCATCTCTGCCCCCTGGGAAGGGGGCCAAAGATATGGCAGGTGTTCAGTCAGCAGTGGGCCCCAGCCTCCCTGCCCTTCCTTCCCCACGTCAGACGCTGTGCCTGAGTATGGGGAGCTTGAGGGGAAGGAGGCTGCCTAGCCCTGGACAGGCCCACACCAGCCGCCAGGGGGGTGGTGGTCCTCCTGCTGTTGGCTGGCACTCTCCTGAACCTGCCTGTTGAGGGTTATGGGGCACGACTCTCAGGACCCTCAGCTGGCTCATCCCACTGAAGGGCTACCCGTCTCAAATTCTCTGGTTCACTGTGCCCATGGTCTGTGGAGACATCTTCTGGTCCGTCTGTGCTGCCATCTCCTCTTGCAGCAGAGATGTGCTCCCAACTCAAGCTCTCCTCATTGCTGAGGGTGCCGAGGGGGACAGGAAGGAATTCTTCCCACATCCATCCTGTCTTCACTCTTCCACTTGAGACCTGCCCATCCTTGCTGTGTTCCTGCCCCTTCCACTGGGGACACCTTGTCCCTACCTTGGAGCCGACTCCTCTGATCCCCACTCATGAGGCACAGCCAGATGTGGCAGGGGTAAGGATGTTGGTTAATCAGGACGTGTAGAGCCTGGGGTGTCTCTGGGCCTCCATTTCCCTCCTGGAAGTGAAGGGGAGTTGGCCTGCTGACCTTTCTAGCTCTAACAAACATTCCATAAATCTGCAACATTTTTCACATGCTCAGAAAAATTGAGGAGTCAGAGTATAGAACCCTCTGCCCTTTCTGCTCACAGGGGATTCTAGAAGCTCTTGGGCCACCTGCGTCCCACCGGGGCCAGCCTGTGGCACCATGGGTACAGTTAATGTTCCTAATCAGGGCCAGGTCTGCACATGACGTGGACTGAGGCCAGGGCCCCTGCCCAAGCACAGAGCAGGGGGACTTGCAACTTATACTGAACAACCCAGCACGGACCCTTCCCAGCTAGCCCACTCTCCCACCTGCACAGTGGCTGGTGTCTTAGTCATTTGGTCTTAACTGGTGTTCTGCTGGTTTTTCCTCCTGTGGGCATACCCCTTGATTCCCGGGTTGTGCTGGTACCATAGGGAGGCCCTGGAGGCTGTGTATATGTGTGTGTGTGTAGACACTCGTAATTGCAGAAGCCAAGGAAGAGAGAAGCTGTCCTGAGAGAAGGAAGTCACATTGCATGGGAGACTGTCCCTGGACGAGGGTCAAGTTTAGCATGGTCATGGGTAACCTGGGAGATCCTGAGTGAGTTGTGTGGTCTCCTAGGACCCTGGTTCCCTTCTCTGTAAAGCAGGGATCAAACAAACAGTCCCTGTGCCCCAGGGCTGTGGGGATAGGCTGAGCGGGTTGGGAATCTTTCTCTCCCGAGCCTCCCTCCCTCCCTCCGGGGCTGGCTCCTCGTTTCTGGCCCCTGGGGCCTCATGGCCCTCTTCCTCCCTGTAGATCTCTCCTATCCTGTAAGTGACCACAGAGGACAACCATGAATGAGGCCAAAGAGACCCTCCGTGGCATTGAGCAGAAGTACAAGCTGTTCCAACAGCAGCAGTTCACCTTCATCGCAGCTCTGGAGCACTGCAGGGAGAACGCACATGACAAGATCCGGCCCATCTCCAGCATCGAACAGGTGGCACCTGACAGGGCTGACCCTGGTCACAGGAGCCTC